CTCTCTCTCACTTACTCACTCTCCCTCCCTCCCTCTTTCCTCTTCGCTCACAATAGCTGGACTGGGCGGCCGTCGCTAAAGGAAAGGCTACCGCGCCGTAAAACAACGACATGAAAGATGGACACCCCAGTGTCACCCGGCTATGGAATGTGAGCTCAAATGTGAGCCATCTCTCTGTCTCTGTCTGTCTGTCTGTCTGTCAGTCTGTCTGTCTGTCTGTCTGTCTGTCTCTCTTTTGTCTCTCTCTCATACTCTCCCTCTCCCTCTCTCTCGCTTGCTCTCTGTTCACTCATTTTTTTGGTCGCGTAGGGCAGGCGGCGTCTCCAAGGCACGACTGTACTGATCCGAACTCCTCGATAAGCTGTTAATATTTCTATCGGCGAAACAAACGACTGGTTCTTTCAGAGATGTCGCAGTCCCACTCCACCCCGACCCTTCCTCGCCCCGCCCCGCCCCGCCGCTGTGCCGCGTCCTCAGAGACATGAACGCCCGAGCGCGCTCGAATGCTTTATTTTGGGCCATAAAAGTCAGGCGAGTACGCCTTTTACTCGGGCCGTGCTGGTCCGGCTGCCACCGGCTGCCGCCGGGCTGCCACTGTGCTGCCACCTTGCTGCCACCGCGGGCTGGGCGGCGCTGAGGGATGGAGGTGTCCTCAGCGTCCTGCCGCGGACTCGCCACAGGTGCACCGGCCCCACCACGCCACGCCGAATAAAACTGAGAGGATCACACAGACTTGAACAGTACTCTCAAAATGTGGCTTGTCGTTTATTCACAGTAAAAAATAGTTGACGGAAAACATTTTGATGACTCTTTGGCAAACAGAAGTCTTGTTCTGTTTTATATTGTGCCATATCCAGACAATCTAGTATGTTACTCATCAAATTCTCTGTCACATTACGGACGGTTTTATGTTTTGAACAGCAGTACAGTAGGTAATTAAGTAAACCTAACGACACAAATATGTTATTAAGTAAGAACATTCACGGTTGAAACGACGTCTAATTTTTTTTAGGAAAAACAATACTATAATAACCTGAGAATAGACGCATCAGAGATTGAGGAAGTACCCAAAAATGTAGGAATTTCCCACATTTGTTAGGAGACTTCTTCTAAATGTCGGGAGAGCTCCTCAAAGTATAGGAGCTGCTCAAAGTTTTCCCCTTTTCCTCAAAAGTTGAGACTTTTACCGTGTTATATTTAATAGTGTAGGCCAAGTCTGATAAAAATATTCTTAGTCCTAATTTATATTTGACCTCTCTTTTACTACTATGAAATCACATCCAAACGCTAAATTTAAAATGACATTCTTTTTGTTTAAGGCACATCTTAACAACTTGCAATTTAAAATATAGCGCTTAATCCTCGGGCCTGCTGAAATTGTTTTAAAATAATTATGAAAATTTAATAGTAATGATGGTCTGTGCTCTGCAGCGATGGCCGTGTTTCGCACAGTGCAGTTTGATGCACCTGTCACGTCGCGCCGTGTGTGTTCTTCCTGGAAACGCCGCGCCTGCTGGCTGTGCAGAAAGCGGGGCAGGAGAGAGATGGGAGAGGCGGGGGAGAGAGAGAACGAGATAGAAAGGTGGATAGATAGAGAATGTGACGTCGATAAAAAAAATTAAGTTTGCACTCTTACAAGTCGGACACACTCCCTTAAACGCACCATCTGTCGAAGAAAAGTTGCGTTTCTTTGTAAATCATTCTCCTGTGTGAAATTTGTAGGAAATGTTGGACAATTTGTACCAGCTTGGATTCCAATAGTCCCAATAAAATAATACTACGTGCCTCAATAACACAAAATGAATTTGGCCCAGAAGTCGACACTTTCCTTAGGACTGAACTGAACAGTTCGTACTATTTACGTAGTGTTACAACACATCAAGGATTTTTAAAAAGACAGCGGACTGTGTGTGTGTGCGCGCTCTTCAACGGCCTCAATAACTTGCGGCCTGAACGTGAATTACAGTTACAGTACAGAGCCGCTCAGTTATCTGTGTCTCATTAGACAAGCTGTGAGCCCCCTCCCTTTATCCCCCTTTCCCCCCTTTTACTCCCCGCAACCCACCGTTGTCGTGTCTTTGGCTCAGCGGCAGTTAGGCTCTTTTTGTGCTGATCTTATTCCTTTTCTTGCGCATTCCGATTTGGCCCCGTATTTCTTACCGCCCGAGTAACACGACGCGCGCGGGAAAAAAAATTTGCGCACAACACGACAAGGAATTTAAAAGTTAGGAGGAGTTTGTATCATTTTTGGTTTTAACTCGTAGGCAACCATAGGGATGAATCCTGTTGTAATAATAGGTCTTTAAAAAATCACTATTTCGAAACCAAGTGGTTTTTTTTGTGTGTGTTTTTTTTTAAAGGACAATATTAGCATTTCTACAGCCAGTGTCATTGACGACACTCTCTGGTGCAGTGCATCAAAAATAGATTTCTGATTGAAAAGGGGATAATCTTAGGGAAAGAAATGAGACTGCTTAGGCTCCACATCATTCGCACTTGTGCAGCCAATTAGTGAGCTGTTTCAATCTCCCTAGGTCCCCCTCTCCCCACTCCACGAATCACGCCCTTAGGTGGGCGAGGAAATCGTTCCCTAATGACTCTCTAAATAATAACGAGAGTAACAACGTCAAAAAATCGCAATTATTCTGTAAACATGAGATTACTATCGATTTTTTAAACTGATTTGTCATACGTATCATTATGTTAATGTCGTTAAGCTTTTAGAAAATGTAGTTCCTTATTGTGTTTTTGTTTGGCGGTGCAGACGCGCGCATGCGCAGCACTCGCACTGTCAGAAAGTAAAATGCAAAGCGCATTGCACAAGGGCGAGCACTTACCGTGGCGCCATCTTGGAATGCGTCGCGGCCAGCCGGCGGCCAGCGGCACGGCCCTCCTGCCAGCCGCCCCACTCGCCCCGCCAGCCCCGCTAGCCCCGCCAGCCCCATCGGCAGGCCTTGGCCAGCGGACCGGGCCCATGCGGACGCGGGAACAGCCGGTCGGGTTAGCCTTTAGCTATGCCTGTGTTTCCGATCACTTTGACAGAACTCATAAATTAGAGGTTTTACTAACACTTATTGTTTCTAAAATTCGATTAGGACACACAGTTGCATCTTTGATTCTGTTTCAGGAAACAAAAGTTGTAATAAAAAGCAAGACGAAAGTATTTTTACATAATTGATTAATAGTTAACTATTTCTAGAGAATATATTACACGAGAAATTAAAATGTAGTCGAAGAATAAGCATATGGAAATAATTGTAAACTCTCCTCTTCAAAGGCATTTATACCTCCTGGATCATGTAACCATGAACAGCAATAAAGATAGAAAGCTCAGATACCAACATCGAGAGGTGTCGAACAATGCGTTGACAGTTGCGCCACAGGAGCGGAGGGGAGGAGAGGGGCTGTTTGTGAGATTAATGCCGCGGAGCATTATCTGCTGGCAAGTTTGACACAACGCGAGGGTGGCGGTGTGGGCCCCCCGGGCGCCGCGCGTTGCGGGGCGGGGCCGCGATCACTGAGATAATCCGAGTGGTGCGGTGGCGAAGCGCGGCGGGGGGAGGCGGCGACGTCTCGATGGACGCTCCGCCGCCATCTTGCCCGCTCCGCCCAGCGCCCCTGGCGGCCCGGCGGCTCTCAGGGGGAGTGATAACGCCTGGCGGATGGTCGGTCCTCCTGCGGCAACACCGCGACCCTCAATTCTGAGTCTATATAGGGATTGGGTGCGAGGCTTTAGTAGGGTTTACAGACTTGCAGAGCATATTAACAAAGTCCCTTGATTAAATCTGCATTGAAAGTGTAAACGTGCGCATAGGGCTTACGGCTCATTCCAACCATTCACACTTTGGCAAAATGAAGCACAAATTCACTAATCCTTAATAAATGGTCGGATAAACCGCACTTACTTCTGTGATGTCGTTTTCTTTACTCTTCCGATTCTCGTTGGAACTCTTCCATTTTTCTATTATTTTTTTTTTTTTTTTTTTTTTTGGGGGGGGGGGGGTGACTTTTCCGCAAGCGGACGTCCTGCCGTCCTGCATCCTGCCTCTGTCGTCGCGCCCTTTTCGGCCTCGCCTCTACCTCCTGTTGGTCTGTTTGGCGGGGCCCGCGGTGGGCCCAGGCTCAGGCCCAGCCCCCTGCCCAGCCCCACTAGGCGGCCCGCGATGGATAGTCCTAATTAAGGGGAATGTTTCGTCTGTTACGCTCCGCCCGCGGCGCCTCTCCAGCATTGCCCGGACACGCTGATGGAGAATAAATATCTGGCTGCTGAAAATAAACCAATATTGTGTAAGCAAAATGATATACGAGTCGTTTCGAAATAAAGTATTTTGGCGTGCATTGCGAGAACGGTAAGGTTCAATCAGTGAGTGCGGCAATCGAGTGGCGCTGCCCAGCCAGACAGGCGGGAGGGGGGCGATTGACTTTTAAATGCGGCGCCAGTCTGCCCT